ACCTCCTGGGATCAAGCAATTCTTCTGCCTCAGCCTCCTAAGTAGCTGGGATTATAGGCATGTGCCACCACTCCTGGCTAATTTTTGTATTTTTAGTAGAAACAGGGTTTCACCATGTTGGCCAGGCTGGTCTCTAACTCCTGACCCCAGGTAATCTGCCCACTTTGGCCTCCCAAAGTGTTGGGATTACAGGCGTGAGCCACTGTGCCCAGCTATGTTTGTGTATCTTCTGAGGCTCTTCTTGTTGGTTTCTAGTGTTATTTTACTCTGGTCAGAAAAGATACTAGATATAATTTTGACTTTTTTGAATTTATTGAGACTTGTTTGGTGTCTTAATATATAATCTGTCCTGAAGCATAATCCATGTGCTGATGAGAAGAATATGTATTTTGCAACAGTTGGATAAAATGGTCTGTAAGTGTCTGTTAGGGCATGGAACATGCCTGTAATTTTAGCTACTTGGGAGGCTGAGGAGAGAGGAATGCTTAAGGCCAGAAGTTCAAGGCTGCAGTGCACTGTGAACTCACCTGTGAATAAGCACTGCACAACAGCCTGGGCAACACAGGGAGATCCCATCTGTTTAAAATAGGAAAAAAAAAAAAAGTCTTTTTTAAGTTCATTTAGTCTGCAGTATACTTTAACTCTAATTTTTTTAATTGGTTTTCTGCCTGGATGATCTATTCATTACCAAAAATTGTGTTTTGAAGTCCTCTAATATTATTGTATTGCTTCCTATCTCTCCCTTTAGATTTATTAACATTAGGTTTACATATTAGGGTGTGTATGTATTTGTTATATCCTTTTGCTAAGTTGATCCTTTTCTCATTATATACTGACCTTGTCTCTTTTTACACTTATTGACTTGAAGTCTGTTTTATCTAATTATACCTACTACTGCTCTTTTTTTATTTCTTTTTCCATCTCCTCACTTTTTGTCTACATATATCCTTATAGGTGAAGTGAGTTTGTTTGTTGTAGGCAACATATAGTTAGCTGTATGTTTTATAATCCATTCAGCAGGCCTCTCTCTTGTAATTGGAGAATTTAGTCCATTTATATTTAATGTTATTATTGATAGGTAAGGACTTATACTACCAGAGAAAATCACTTAAGCACAAAGGAAGACAGAAAGAAAGCCAGAGAGGAGTTAGAAAACAATTAGAAAAGAAGTAACAAAATGACAGTATGTTTTAATTCATTGCTCTTTATTATTAATATGTCTATTATAGGCTTTTACTTTGTGGTGACCATAAAATAAGACTTACAAAAACATCCTATAGCTTTTAACAGTTTATCTCAAATCAATATCAACTTATCTTTGATTGCAGAAAAAAGAAACTAAAACCTCTGTGTGTATTCATTCCCTTCTCACCCTGCATTTTGAATTTTTTATGTCACAATTTATGTTGTGTACTGCCTATCTCTTAACAAATTGTTGTGCTTATTTTTAATAGTTTTATCTTTTGGCCCTCTTAGTAAATATATAAATGGTTTGCACACCATGATTATGATATTAATATTAGTGTAACAGTTACATTGTGTCATTTTCTTTGGATTTGAAGAACTCCCTTTATCATTTCTTGTAAAACAGGTCTGATCATGGTAAATTCCCTTAGCTTTGTTTGTCTGGGGAAGACTGTCTCTCCTTTTTTACTGAACGATTGCTTTGCTGGCTACAGTCTTGTAGGTTGGGAACTAGGCTTCCATGCTATTAACTTGAATTACATGGAATCAACTTTTCTTTATTAAACAGTCTTCTTTCTTTTTTGTGTTCCTAAAAATTGAATATTATTGTTCTGAAGTTTCATAAATCTGTTCAGTATAAGAATTGCTTTTGGTGTAATATTGTTTTTCAGTGTAAAATACTTGTTTACATACTACAATTAATTGGAAACCTACGGATCTTTATATCTTGTAGCTCTCTCTTCTGAATTTTTAATGAAAGATTTACCACACAAAGGGAAGAGTAATAAAGGAGAAATACTCCAAACAGTGATGTTGGAAAGACAGGAAAGCCATGACATTGAAGGCTGTTCCTTCAGAGAAGTCCAGAAAAATACGCATGACCTTGAGTATCAATGCAGAGATGCTGAAGGAAATTACAAAGGAGTGCTTATGACCCAAGAAGGCAATCTCACTCATGGAAGAGAGGAACATGATAAAAGAGATGCAAAAAACAAGCTTATTAAAAATCAGCTTGGATTAAGCCTTCAGTCACATCTGCCTGAACTGCAGCTTTTTGAATATGAAGGGAAAATTTATGAATGTAATCAGGTTGAGAAGTCTTTCAACAATAGTTCCTCAGTTTCATCACTTCAACAAATGCCTTATAATGTCAAAACGCACATTTCTAACAAGTATCTCAAAGATTTTATCTCTTCTTTATTACTCACACAGGGGCAAAAAGCAAATAATTGGAGAAGCCCTTACAAATCTAATGGATGTGGCATAGTCTTTCCTCATAATTCACACCTTGTGAGTCATCAAAGAAGTCATACTAAAGAGAAACCTTACAAATGTTATGAGTGTGGCAAAGCCTTTAGAACACGTTCAAACCTAACTACCCATCAGGTAATCCATACTGGCGAAAAACGTTACAAATGTAATGAGTGTGGTAAGGTCTTTAGTCGAAATTCACAACTCTCACAACATCGGAAAATTCACACTGGAGAGAAACCTTATAAATGTAACGAATGTGGCAAGGTCTTCACTCAGAATTCACACCTTGCAAGACATCGAGGAATTCATACTGGAGAAAAACCTTATAAGTGTAATCAGTGTGGGAAAGCCTTTAGAGCTCGTTCAAGCCTAGTTATCCATCAGGCAACCCACAGTGGAGAAAAACCTTACAAATGTAATGAATGTGGCAAGGTCTTCACTCAAAATTCACACCTTACAAATCACTGGAGAATTCACACTGGAGAGAAACCTTACAAGTGTAATGAGTGTGGCAAAGCCTTTGGTGTTCGTTCAAGCCTAGCTATTCATCTGGTAATTCACACCGGAGAAAAGCCTTACAAATGTCATGAATGCGGCAAGGTCTTTAGGCGTAATTCACACCTTGCAAGGCATCAGCTAATTCATACTGGAGAGAAACCTTACAAGTGTAATGAGTGTGGCAAAGCCTTTAGAGCACATTCGAACCTAACCACCCATCAGGTCATCCATACTGGAGAAAAACCTTACAAATGTAATGAATGTGGCAAGGTCTTCACTCAAAATTCACACCTTGCAAATCATCAAAGAATTCATACTGGAGTGAAACCTTATATGTGTAATGAGTGTGGCAAAGCATTCAGTGTGTATTCAAGCCTAACTACCCATCAGGTCATCCATACTGGAGAAAAGCCTTACAAATGTAATGAGTGTGGCAAGGTCTTCACTCAGAATTCACACCTTGCAAGACATCGGGGAATTCATACTGGAGAGAAACCTTATAAATGTAATGTATGTGGCAAGGTCTTTAGGCATAATTCATACCTTTCAAGGCATCAGCGAATTCATACTGGAGAGAAACCTTACAAGTATAATGAGTATGGCAAAGCCTTTAGTGAACATTCAAACCTAACTACCCATCAGGTCATCCATACTGGCGAAAAACCTTACAAGTGTAATGAGTGTGGCAAGGTCTTCACTCAGAATTCACACCTTGCAAGACATCGGAGAGTTCATACTGGAGATAAACCTTACAAGTGTAGTGAATGTGGCAGAGCCTTTAATCAAACATCAAAGCTTGCAAGGCATCAGAGAGTTCATACTGGAGAGAAACCATATGAGTGTAATCAGTGTGGGAAAGCCTTTAGTGTCCGTTCAAGCCTAACTACCCATCAGGCAATCCATAGTGGAAAAAAACCTTACAAATGCAATGAGTGTGGGAAGGTCTTCACTCAGAATTCACACCTTGCAAGACATCAAGGAATTCATACTGGAGAAAAACCTTACAAGTGTGGTGAGTGTGGCAAAGCCTTTAGTCAAACTTCAAAACTTGAAAGGCATCAGAGAGTTCATACCGGAGAGAAACCATATGAGTGTGGGAAACCCTTTAGTATCTGTTCAAGCCTAACTACCCATCAGACAATCCATACTGGTGGAAAACCTTACAAATGTAACGTGTGGAAAGTTCTAAAGTCAGAGTTCAAACCTTGCAAGTCATCACAGGATTCATAGTGGGGAGAAACCTTACAAATGAAGGTGGTAACTTTTGCAGTTAGAATTCATTCCTTTGACAACATCAGAGAATTTATTCCTGAGAGATTCCTTGAAAATGCAATGACTGGCTGGACGCGGTGGCTCACGCCTGTAATCCCAACACTTTGGGAGTCCAAGGCAAGTGGATCACCTGAGGTCACGAGTTCAAGACCAGCCTGACCAACAGGGTGAAACCCCATTTCTACTAAAAGTGTAAAATTAGCTAGGCCTGGTGGCACATGCCTGTAATCCCAGCTATATAGGAGGCTGAGGCAGGAGAATCACTTGAACCCAGGAGGTGGAGGTTGCAGTCAGCCAAGATCGTGCCATTGCACTCCATCCTGGGCAAAAACTGCAAAACTCCATCATAAAGGAAAAAGAAAATGCAACGACTGTGGCAAACTCCTCTTGAGTTCAAGTATTAATAGACATCCAAGAATCCATAATAATGAGAATTCACATAAATGTACTGTGTGTGGCAGAGGCTTTATTCAGGCCTCACAGCTTTGTAGGCATTAAAATCTACGTATTTGATGGAACCACACAAATGCAATGTGTATCCTGAAGCTCTTACTCTAAGACTGTAACTGTAGGTGAGGATTCATACAAAGAGTGACTCAGTCTCTAATTCTTTGATTCACTTTTAATATGATAAACTGCACGATAATTACACATCCCCATATGGTAAAACTTAAGACATTATATATTTCAAAGGTTGAAGGACATTTGGAAATGGCTGCTTACCTTCAGGTTATAAAATCTTTCATTCCATTGTTTGAGGTTTCTTAAAAAGAGTACTGTTTGTGACTTTCAACCTGAACTATGGATCTGTGGCTATTTTGCATCCTTAAGCACCTTTCATGGTGCCTGTCTGGGAAAGAAACGCAGTATGGAAAGGCCTACTTCGTTACATGAGGATAATTTTTATCTACGTTTATTGAAGAAGGAGCACTCTGCCTTATAAAGTTAAATATTCTCTCAATTGAGAGACCATGGTTTAGGAGCAGAAAATAATGTAAAACTATGATTATCAATCATCATACTGATTGTGTTCAAGGTGCTCTTCTGAGAGAAAGACACGATGGGTTTTAGGGAAGTCAGGCTCTACCTGCATTGAGTAGGCCAAGACCTCAGGACACTGGGATTTTTATGAGAGGAGAGTAATAAGTTATTAGTGACATATATGTGATAGGTTATTAGTGACATATATGTGATAGGAATAGTGCAGGGGAAATGGTTGCCACTTTCTCTATTGAATGGCAGTAGCAGTTTTATAGCAGAGATTGATGAAAAATAGGCTTATTTTTGAAATTGAAGAGATAACAGTTATTGGAATGGAGAGCTTGGTCAGAAGAACCAGAATACCATGTTTTTTTTTTGTTTTGTTTTGGTTTGGTTTTTTTTTTTTAGTAGAATTCACACTAATTGCTGGAATTACATTTTGCTATAGTTTTATTAAGAATGTGTCACAGACATAATGTTTTGCCAAAAAAAATTCAACGTTTTCTTACAACTATGAGCAAATCACGTTCTTTGTACCAACACTGTTTTATCCTACCTCAGTAGGATACTTCATAACAGATAATAACAATACACTCAGTCTTTTAGGTTGGAGGATCTAGAACAATTTTTTTTTTTCTTTGTGGAATCAACATACAATTTTGGGAAACTGTAATCATACTCTGCACTTGAATTATTCTCTCTACACTCTGCCTTAGAATATTTATATGGATATAATGAAAATCCCATAGAAAGTGCAATTTTGATATTCTTACACTCTGAAACCTGCCACAGTGTTGGTGAATATATATCATATTTTATTTTTACATGTTTGTGTGCCAAATAACCATGGCATGCATCTTTATTTACATGAAGTGAAAATACAAATATAGAAGATGTATGGGCTGAGTGTGTTGGCTCGTGCCTGTAATCCTAGCACTTTGAGAGCCCAAGGCAGGTGGGTCACTTGAGTCCAGGAGTTAGACCAGCCAGGGCAACGTGGCAAAACCCTGTCTCTACAAAAAAAAAGATAGAAAAATTACCTGGACAGAGTGGCTCACGCCCGTAGTCCCAGATCCTCTGGGAGACTGAGGCAGGTGGATCACTTGAGCCTGGAGGCAGAGGTTGCAGTGAGCCAAGATCACGCCATTGCACTCCAGCCTGGGTGACAGAGTGAGACCCTGTCTCAAAAAAAAAAATTGTATGGAAAATATTAGCTGGGTGCGGTGGCTCACACCTGTAATCCCAGCACTTAGGGAGGCTGAGGTGGGTGGATTATGAGGTCAGAAGGTCGAGACCACGCTGGCCAACACAGTGAAACCCCATCATCTACTAAAAAATACAAAAAAAAAAAAAAGTTGACTGGACGTGGTGGCATGTGCCTGTAATCCCAGCTACTCGGGAGGCTGAGGCAGAAGAATCACTTAAACCCAGGAGGCGGAGGTTGCAGTGAGCCGAGATCGTGCCACTGCACTCCAGCCTGGGCAAGAGAGCGAGACGCCGTCTAAAAAAAAAAAAAAAAAAAAATTATAAATAGTGCAGAGTAACAAAAATAACACTAATAAAGAATGCTATGCTCAGTGACATAATTTGACAAGACTAATATTCATCAGTTTCCTCTTAAAAATGAACATATAAATGGAAATTTCATTTTGTTTTGGTAGGTAAACTAGAAGTTTCATAAATTTAACCTTATCACGTTTTTGGCAATGTTAATTTGTCACCTCTCCACAAGAAGTGTATTGAACTCCACCTACAGTTTGGTTTAGATATGGAAAATGATGATGCCAAACAATGAAGTTTTAGGAAAATCTGTATTGCATAATGAGGCTTTCTGTGAGAAGCAGGATTGACTTCCCAAACTGGTCCAAAATGGCTTGAGAGAGCAAGGATAAATAACTTGCTTGGGGTATTATGGTAATAACCTTTAATAAAAGGGTGAGGTTGGGGTGAGGGTCCCACACGTGCTTTGAACTTCCATCTAGTGCCAAAGGAGGAAACACGGGCATTACCAGCTTGGCCAGATGGGCAGAATAAGAAGGGGGAGTGCAGAGGTATAAAAGGTGTTATAAGACAAAAATCACAAAATGGAAACTGACTCTAGTACAACACTGAATATTTACTCTTAAAACTTCTGATTTCTGGCCAGGCATGGTGGCTCATGCCTGTAATCGCAGCACTTTGGGAGCCTGAGGCAGGTGGATCACCTTAGGTCAGGAGCTCAAGACCAGCCTGGCCAACATGGTGAAACCCCATCTCTACTAAAAATACAAAAATTAGCCAGGTGTGGCAGCGCATACCTGTAGTTCTAGCTACTAGGGAGGCTGAGGCGGGAGAATCACTTGAACCTGGGAGATGGAGGTTGCAGTGAGCTGAGATCTCACCACTGGACTCCAGCCTGAGCAATAGAGTGAGACTCCGTCTCAAAACAAAAGAAAAAAAAAAAGAAATTTCTAACTTCTTTGTTAGGAAAGACCTTCGCTTTCTTCATAATAGTAGATAACTACTCTTCCTTTTCTGCTGAACCCACAGATCCCATTACATAACGTCATTCTTGAAAATGTTTGTGAAATGCTGTTTAAATTGCCTAAAATATTTTTAGAGTAGTTCAGTGCAAATGAATTTGTGGAAAAGTTTATTACATAATATGATCAAGCAACTTTAGCCAAAGGGTATTTTTCCAAAGGCTGTGTTATGTTAATGTCATGTTCAGTTTATGGTATTGTGTAATATATTCCATAGCATCTTTTTTTTTTTCTTTTTCTTTTTAGACGTGAGGTCTCGCTATGTTGGCCAGGTTGATCTTGAACTCTTGGCCTCAAGCATTCCTCCTGCCTCAGCTTCCCAAAGGGCTAGGATTACAGCCGTGAGCCAATAGTAGTAAAATGACTTTTTGTATATGATTTTTACTTTAAGGATTTTTTCCTTCCATACATTTTAATCTAAATTATATGTTTACTGCATTTCTTCTCTGTGTTACTCCAGTGAAAACTTAGAAAATACATAAATTAGGGTGTTGTTTGGAAATAAAATTTTGTGACATGAAAATGTATGTAAGACAATGGCAGGTACAGACTAGGTTCTCTGTAAATAGGAAAATGGAGTGTCCTTGTAAATCTTCAGTTCAATTAAAGTACAGGGATACTAGATGGTGAAATGAAGTCTCTTAATATGGAAGTTATCAAAGATCAGCTGCTTGAAAATCAAGCGTGTGGATGTTAACCAGCATCTGGAGAAGTAAATGAAAATACAGTTAATAAGAGAGTCCCCAAGATACTATCATTTATGCAAAGGAGATAATTTCTCTCAATGAGTCCCTGGAGGCAATTCAACTTCCCACTGTGGCTGGTATTTCTGTTCTGAGCCAGAGGCTCTTACAGCAAAACATGATATTTGTGCAACTTTTGCCATGATAGCTGCCATTTAATATACTCCCTTTAGTTTTGTTTCCATTTTAAAAAACATATATATAGATAGATATACTTTAATAAGTGATTTATCTTTGCATATATATTTTCTTTTAGGTCAATCGCAGTTAGAGTAAGAATCACAGTTATTAATGCTTTAAATGTAACAACTGAATCGTCAGCTCCCTGAAATAAGTATTGATGATATTCTCATTTCAGAGGTGAGGAAACCTAGGACAGATAGGCAAAATAATCAAATTAGGCCAGGCACAGTGGCTCATGCCTGTAATCCCAGCACTTTGGGAGGCCGAGGTGGGGGGGATCACCTGAGGTCAGGAGTTCAAGACCAGCCTGATCAACATGGTGAAACCCCATCTCTACTAAAAATAGAAAAATTAGCTGGGTGTGGTGGTGGGCATCTGTAATCCCAGCTATTTGGGAGGCTGAGGCAGGAGAATTGCTTGAGCCTGGGAGGTGGCTGTTGCATTGAGCCGAAATCCCATCATTGCACTCCAGCCTTGGCGACAGAGCAGGACTGCATCTCCCTCTCTCTCTCTCTAAAATACATATATAATATATGTATATTATATACATATAACATCATATATAATATACGTATATATTATGTACATACTATGCTGTATATGCATATACTATATATAATATACGTATATATGTATATAATAT